GATAAATGATAAATGACACTAAACATGAGCAAAGGAGTGGTAATTGGTGGAGGTGTGATCATTTAGCAAGGGAGGGGAAGGGCCAGCCCTCAGGCCATGAAAGGCCAAGAAATCATTTGGTGTGACCCTGCCAAGACATTAGGGGTGAGTTAATGAAATGTTTGAATATAGCAGGCTAATTTTTAAGTTGATAAGTCTGTATGGCCCACAAATGATATTATAAATATCCAAAGGACCCGCAGCAGAAAAAAAGGTTTCCCATCTCTGATTTAAGGTAACCTGTTCCCTAAATTTCACCTACTGATTATACAAAGCATTGAGACATCTTCAAACAAGTTCCACTATTTCAGTGTTATTTCTCGGAAATGCAGGAGGTTGGACAAGTAACACAAAGACTGTCTTCAATTCTTAGGACTCATGAGAGAAGGGACCCAGGCAAGATCAGCTACTGGGGAATGTGGATCTCACTGGGACGAGGAAGCAAAGCCGGCCAATAGAAGGCAGTGTTTCTTCAGGTCAGACAGCCAAGATGCTTGTGAGAAGGTAGTAAGGATAAGGCGGGCTATCTCTTTTATTGCTAGAGTCCCCAAACCTGTGTGGCACGTGATTCCAGCCCCCAGCAGCAATTGCTACTAAAGGTCTATGCGGTGTTCCCTGGAGATCTCATGTTTTTGAGGTTGTGGGGTGAATACGGACGGACAGTACCAGAGTAGGGAATTAAGTCATCTAATGTCTTCTAGATACACAACTAGAGAGTAAGAGATGTAGGTTTCCATGTTTAACGTGTATGAGGTTCTGCCAACTCCAGGACCCTCGGAGAACATTGTGCTTTCAGAGCAGCTGGCTTGACTTTGAAGACCTCTGGATCGTAGTACACAATGCGCATAGGAGTCCTGGAATGGGGGGAAAAGAACCCAACCTGAGGCAAGACGAACAGAAAGTGGAGCTAACATTTCTCAAGCATCCCCCCTGTGCTAGGCACGGTGATACGATCCTGTTTTAATTTTCATAAGCCTCCCATGAAACAGGCATCATGACCCCCACTACACAGATAAGGAAATGAAGGCTTGGGAAAGTTGTGAGAATGAACTGTGGTCAAATCCAGATTAGTGTACCGGTCAGATTCCAAAGCCTTTGCTCTTTCCACAAAAAGTAAGTTCTGGAAATTTCTTAATAATTCGGCAATGTTAAAACAAGCCAGACAGTCCTCTGGTGGACTTAAATCAAAATTTTTGAAGTTTTCACCCTTTTCACCTTCCCAACGAGTAATAACTTTAGAGAAGGGACCTAGAGCACTTGGTCTAACTCTTCCCTTCCCTTTGTCAAGGGGGAGGGAATAAGCTTCATTTCATTTGGTGCTGAACTTTATTTTTTAAGGCAAAACACCTTATAAAAATTTTTAACTATTATGTTATATAAGAACTAACATATTTCCTGTTCCCTGGGCTCAGGAGTTCTACAACTTTCTTCAGTGCCTCCAGATTTTCCTGATGATGCTTAAAAAGGAGATCAAGTATTATCATGTGAATGCAACAAAATGAATTGAGGTTCAGGCGAGTTAGAGGTCTTCTGAAAAATAAACAGAGCTCAGCCAGCATACCTCAGTGGTTGAGTGTCGATCTATGAACCAGGAGATCATGGTTTGATTCCCAGTCAGGGCCCATGCCCGGGATTGGGTTCTCGATCCCCAATGTGGGGTGTGCAGGAGGCAGCTGATCAATGACTCTCTTTCATCATTGATGTTTCTCTCTCTCTCCCTCTCCCTTCCACTCTAAATCAATAAAAATACATTTAAAAATAAAAATAAATAAACTGGAATTAGAGACAATTTCTTCTTTGTTGAACTATTTTCTTATTTATTTGAAATAGGTTATATATGTACGTGGTACAAAAGCATTGAAAAATACAAAAGTCTATTTAATGAAAAATAATTCTTCCTCCCATCCCAGGTCCCCAGATCCCCCCAAATTACCATTGTTACTACCTTCTTATATACCCTTCTGAGATATTGTAGGAATATGCAAGCAAAAATATGGCACACATGTATATTTCCTTGCACAAAACTGTAACATATTATGTACTCTGTTTTTTGTAATTTGTTTCACTTAGACAACATGTGTTAGATAAATAACCCCATATCCATAGTTACAGAGTTGATTCTTAGATCTATGTTGCAATACCAGCCACTAACCTTTTAATGATAGCCTTATATTTATGGTAAGACGACCATAGGTTTGCCATGATAAATGTAACAAATAAGTGAGATGTTTTTAAAAATTTCTCAGCCTGGCTGGGCTGGCTCAGTGGTTGAGTGTCAACCTCTGAACCAGGAGTCCACAGTTCGATTTCCAGTCAGGACACATGTCTGGGTGGCAGGCTCAATCTTCCGTGTGGGGTGTGCAGGAGGCAGCCGGTCGATGATTCTCTCTCATCACTGGTGTTTCTATCTCTCTCCCAGCCTCTTTCTCTCTGAAATTTAAAAAAAAAAATCTCACATTTCTGCCATTCTTTCTTCCTTTAAGTTGACATACCTTGCACTTGGATTAGCTAGTTCTTCAATTCTGGGAGATATTTTGGAATGTGTAGCAGCATAAGAGACTGGCCAGTAGGGGTCACGGTGAGGTATATAATCTTGATGAAGAGTTTTGGCCTTAGCTAGAAATACTGTTCGAGGGCTAGGTGTAGTTAGCAAGGCAGCTTGGGTTATCTACCGTGGAAACAAAAAGACACAAAAATATATCCCCAAATTTACCACACATCCCTCTCTTTACAACTATATCCCTGATTCAGTCACCACCCTCTCTTTCCTGGATTCCTACAATAGACTCCTAACCGGTTTCCCTGCTTTCATTCTTACCCCTGGACAAGCCAGCATTCACATAGCAGTTACTGAGGAAAGAATGAATGCTTTAATGAGGGCATTCCAGGAGCCAGACAGTGTTCTCAGTCATTGACCTATGTCATTGCTACTTAATCATCATAACAACTCCATGAGGTAAGTACTTTCTGAAGCTCAAGTCAGATCATGCCACTCCCAGGGTTTAAAACCTCTAGTGCAGTGGTTCTCAACCTTCCTAATGCCGCGACCCTTTACTACAGCTCCTCATGTTGTGGTGACCCCCAATTTCATTGTTACAAATTGAACATAATTAAAGCATAGTGATTAATCACAAAAACAATATGTAATTATATGTGTGTTTTCCGATGGTCTTAGGTGACCCCTGTGAAGGGGTCATTTGACCCCCAAAGGGGTCTCGACCCACAGGTTGAGAACCGCTGCTCTAGTGGATCCCCATTTTACTAAAAATAATACTTGGGCTCCTTCCTGTGGCCCTAAGGCCTTACCAGATGGGCTGCAACCCCACTCCCTACTTTGATTATTATGAGGCCCCTCCCATGATCACACAACTCCCCTCTGGCCTAGCCCTTTCCACCTCAGGGCCTTTGCACTTGCTAGTTCTGCTTGAATTCCCCGTTCCTCAATCTTGCTATGGCTGCTCTTCATCATTCAAGTCTCTGACTCAACCATGTATGGTTAGGACTTTTTCCCTAGCCATACAAACAAATCAGTCTTACTAATTACCCTCTTCCACAGTACTCATTTTCCTGTAGCACTTACCAACACCTGGCTTAGTTCACTGATCTCGTCGATATGTTTATTGTGTGCTTCGTCCCCTTAGAATATAAGCTGCTTGAGAGAAGTGCAGCAGGTCCTCAGATAGTGTTTCATTATGGCACTGATGACATGCCTAGGAAGTTAACTCTTGTGTGTGCCCATTAGCCTATGGTGAAATTGGTTTGGTTATATGCCATGTTGCTTAAGGTCACAGAAACTATCAAAATGGTAAGTGAGACCTTACTATACTTGTTTGTCGAAAGCTGGAATAGGCTCTGGTGCCTAATTGGTGCTGAATCAATTCCCTCTGGTCTTACTTTGAAAGTCCCATTTGCCAGGTGGCCTTTTTATTATGTTGCTTTATTGGTAAAATAGGAAGGATGTCATATAATCTCTTTCTTAAGTGCTCATTGAAAAGAATTGGGGTGGACAACAAACACCACGTAGTACCCCTGAAAGTGTTCTGTGTTGCAGTGGGACAGATTTGTTTTGGGTTCTCCTTGTATGATTGTCTGCAGTGGTATCACTTGTTAAAAAGATTTTCTTAACACTCCTTCAAACAGTTCTAGCAATTAAAGAAAGATGCCTATAAGTCTCACTTTACATCCCCCCCAAACTGAGAATAAAGTGATTTGCCCGAGGGTCAGAAGGTCACTTTAGAAAACTTAAGACGTTCTCCCAAGGGTTTTTAATATCCAGATTCGTTTTTATTTCCCAAATAGAATTCCATATCAAATCCTCAGATTCTGAGGAAGAGGGTGAAATTGGCCCCACATCCTTGGATAGCATAATCATTAGATATTTATTGAAAACTCGACTGGGATTGGGCACCAAGTTGCCACTGCAGTGAATGGAGAAGGGTGTCCAGGAGGAAGAGCAAGGGAAGCTCCTGGCCGTGCCGGGCGGGCTCTGAGCTGAGCGAGGGCCTTCTCTACTTTTGCCGGTAATTAACAGTCCTGCAAATGGGAACTGTTATCTTTACATTCCCCTGGTTCCCCTTGCTGTGCCCAACTTCAAGGTCATCCCAGCTTTGGGACCCAGCTTTAGTACTCTTCCCTTTACTAAAATACTCTCTTTTCGGATGAATAACTCCATCTCATCATTCAGGTTTCAGCTCAAATATACCTTCCTCAGAGGGGCTTTCTCTGACTACCATCTGCAAAGTAGCTTGTCCCTATAATCACTCATTTCCTACTTTATTTTTTTCATTGCACTTTTCACTACCCAACCTTATCTTACTTGTTTACCTATTTTTTCGGTGTTTGTTTCTCTCCATCGTGTTCACTGGGAGCAGTGTCTGGCACACAGTAGGCATTCAAATACTTGTTGAATGAACAAGGCTCAGGGAGGTTGTCACAAGAGCTGGAGTGGCAAGGCTGTAATTTGAACCCAGCTCTCTTACTGGCTCCAAAGTTCACCCCCCTCACCCTTTACCCCCCAGGCCCTCTCCATATCTGGCAGGTAGGTCTTCCTGCCACAGACTTTTCTTTCAAGATTCCCTTTAGCAATGACTTTGGCCAATGCCCTCTAGGGGTAAATAGCACCATAGGAACAACCGGAAAGTGAGCTGAGGGATGGCAAGGCAGTGATGGCTTACGGGACGGATGGGCACATCAGTTTTTTCTCTTGGATAGCACAGACCCTCTATCTTGATCTTTGGACAGGCAAGGTCTATAATTCTTGGAGTTGCAATAGCATGCAGGGCAGGAGCTAAAATCTTGGTTTCAATCTAGAGGAGAAAAATAAAACAGTACCTGTAAGCATAAAATAATAAACACCATCTCGATCAAGATGACAGAGTAGTGCCCTGACCGGTTTGGCTCAGGGGATAGAGCATTGGCCTGTGGACCGAAGGGTCCCAGGTTCAATTCTGGTCAAGGGCATGTACCTTGGTTGCAGGCACATCCCCAGTTGGGGACGGGCAGGAGGCAGCTGATCGATGAGTTTCTCTCTCATCGATGTTTCTAACTCTATCCCTCTCCCTTCCTCTCTGTAAAAAAACAATAAAATATATATATTTTTTAAAAAGATGACAGAGTAGGTCTGACCTCTGGACCAGACTTCCCGGCAAATTCAGCAGAAAGAATAACCACAATCATAGCTGAAGGATCAATGCCCATCTTTCTCAAACTAGTTGTACGGATTCCAACTCAAATTTTCAGGAACGTAAAGATGTGGAGGAAATGGCTATGGTGCATGTTGTCTAAGAAATACATAGTAGCCCTAACCGGTTTGGCTCAGTGGATAGAGTGTCGGCCTGCGGACTGTAAGGGTCCCAGGTTCGATTCCAGTCAAGGGCATGTACTTTGGTTGCGGGCACATCCCCAGTTGGGAGTGTGCAGGAGGCAGCTGATCGATGTTTCTCTCTTAGATGTTTCTAACTCTATCCCTCTCACTTCCTCTCTGTAAAAAAACCAATAAAATATTTTTTTAAATGTTAAAAAAAAAAAGAAATACATGGTAATGCTGGTGATGGAGTGGTAAACTCAGCCAAGAGGGAAGGCCCAGCCCCACCACACACATGAGGCGCTGTAAGGGGCACTGTACGTTTGTTCTTCTTTTTTTTTTTTTTAATATATTTTATTGATTTTTTACAGAGAGGAAGGGAGAGGGACAGAGAGTCAGAAACATCAATGAGAGAGAAATATCAATCAGCTGCCTCCTGCACACCCCCTAGTGGGGATGTGCCCGCAATCAAGGTACATGCCCCTGACCAGAATCGAACCTGGGACCCTTCAGTCCACAGGCCGACGCTGTATCCACTGAGCCAAACCAGTCAACGCTATACATTTGTTCTTAACTACTTTTGCCCTTTGGAAATTGGGACTCACACTATCACAGATCCCCATGTTTCAAGTACATGTTAGTGGCTTTCTTCTAAGTCAAACAGAGACGAAAGAGAAACCAAAGCCAGGAGGAAGGAGGCAGAACCACCTCTCCATGGAGAATGTTGTTCTGGTCTTAATTGTGGAAATATGTTCAAACTCATGGTTTTCTATTTAAATTAGTTGTACTCGAACTCAAAATTTACCATAAGACTTTGAGGTGGAATATAATCATTAACTGGAAATAAAATACAGTTTTATCTTTTCACTGTGGGTGGAAAAATAATACAAAGGTATGCCCTAATCCCTTCTTGTGTTGTTTAAAATGATGATGATACTAACACTGACAGTTCTCGACATGTATTAATTAATTTATTCTTCACCTGGGGTATCATTTTTATTTCATTTCATTGAAATACTTGGAGAAACCAAAGTACTTTGAAGTTCAGCAGTTTACTTAAGTTTATATAGTTAGTAAGTGGCAGAGCTGGGAATCAAACTGAAAGTCCTATCTGTCATTATAACACCATGAAAATTCTCATTAAGAATTGTAAATATTTCCTATGAATTAAACTTTGTCTCCCATCAGGCTCTGGGAAAATCAGAGAGATAGATGATAACCACTGCTTTCAGTTAAGGCCTACAGTTGGAAAAAAAATAAAACAATCATTTATTAATTTAATTCATTAGTCAAATATTTCTTAATCAATTATATTATGTAAGATACAACAAGGAATAATTAAACAATCCCTTTCTCTTTTTTCTTATCTTTATTGTTGAAAGTATTACATAGGTCTTCCTTTTTCCCCCATTAGAAACAATCCCTTTCTTAAAGTAATTTTCCATTGATTTTTTTTTTCAGAGAGAGTGGAAGGGAGAGGGAGAGACAGAGAGAAACATCCATATGAGAGAGACACATCGATTGGTTGCCTCCTGAACACCCTCAACCAGGGCAAGGAGCCTGCAACCGCAGTATGTGCCCTTGACCAGAATCGAACCTGGGACTCTTCAGTCCACGGTCTATCCATTGAGCCAAACTGGCTAGGGCATCTTAAAGTAATTTTCAACTTAGAAGAAACCATGTCCTATAGGCAAATCATTTGATACCAGTAAAAGCGAATAAATAAAACTTTGAGAGATATCCGAGGAAGAGTGGGAAAAGCCAAGAAGGATTCCCTTGTTAAGATAAAGAAACAGCCAAAACCGGTTTGGCTCGGTGGATAGAGCGTCGGCCTGTGGACTGAAAGGTCCCAGGTTCGATTCCGGTCAAGGGCATATACCTTGGTTGCGGGCACATCCCCAGTAGTAGGTGTGCAGGAGGCAGCTGATCGATGTTTCTCTCTCATTGATGTTTCTAATTCTCTATCCCTCTCCCTTCCTCTCTGTAAAAAATCAATAAAAATACATTTAAAAAAAGATAAAGAAACATTAGATTGGACCTTGAAGGAAGTAGAGGAGGAGGAAAGATAGGGAGATAAAGAAAGGATAATGGGAAGGAAAATCTCAGCATAGAGGCAAGGAAGCATGGAGCTGATGGTCTCTGGTTATGCAGAGAGACCAGGCTTGTGAATGCATTTGTAACTAGATTAGATGTGGGGGAGGGAGCATTGTTCATAGCCAGAAGAGAACCATCAAGTCTAGTATTATTATTACTAGAGACCCGGTGCATGAATTCCTACATGGGTCTGGTCTGGCCAGCCCGCCCCCATCAGGGCCCATGGGGGTAGGGGCCCAGGGAGGTTGGCCAGATGGCCCTGCCCCATGGTTGAACTCCCAATTGAGGGGACAATGTGCATATTGGCCTTTTATTATATAGGATTATTATTAGTATTATTATTAGTATTATTGTTGGTTTTAGAGAGGAGGTAAGGGAGAGAAATCTCAATTTGTTGTCCCACTTATTTATGCATTCATTGGCTGATTCTTGTGTGTGCCCTGACCGTGTATCGAACCCACAACTTTGGCATATTGAGACGATGCTCTAACCAACTAAGCTATCTGGCCAGGGCCATCAAATATTTATATTAGAAAGTAAGCATGATCAGAGCTGGAGATTAATCTATTAGGCTTGTGTGAGAAGGTAACTGCTAAATACAAAAATAAGAGTTTTAAAAGTCAAAATCTACCAAAGCCAACGATTTTAAAAATTCAAACAGATTGATTAGCCTGAGTAGGAGCTTCTGACATCGGTAAATAGAGAATAAATGAGCTAGGAAATCAACCCCTTTTCTAAGCTGTATAGTCCTGACAACGTTTCTATAGAAAGAGGTTTGGGATGACATTCACAGAGGTGAAAGGACTTCCTCCAGTTCATCCATCCAAAGTCTGGTGGCAAATAACCCCAGGTGCCTGTGATAGTAACTTGGCTTCCTTTGTGGGCATGTATTATTTTTATTAATTTTTTATATTATTTTTATTGATTTCAGAGAGAGATATAAATATCAATGATGCATGCCTCCTACTGGGGATTGAACCCACAACCCGGGACCCTTCAGTCCGAAGGCTAACGCTCTATCCACTGAGCCAAACTGGCTAGGGCAGGAATGTATTCTTTTTAAACTCCGGGAAGATTTAGAATTAACTGTAAAAATCCTAAGACAATCAAAATGATTAAGAGTAATGCTTGTGTTAAGAATAAGTATGTATAAAAATTGATGAAATTTGAACATGGACCATGGAGTGAGTATAGTATTATATCCATGTTAAATTTCCTGATCTTGATATTAGCATTATAGTTGTACTATAATGTACTAAGGGGCCCAGTGCACAAATTCGTGCACCTTGAAAGGAACTGTGGGCCACGAGGCAGTGGTGGGCACAGGGGCAGGTCTCTGCCCATCTCCACACCCCCACCTGGCCCTTCCCACCACAGCCCCCAGTCCCCTATCTGCCAACAGCCCTGCTCCTGCCACCACCGCTCCCTCATGCTGACTGTGCCATCCCTGCTTGCACCCGCTGATGGCGCGGAGCAATTGGGGCTGGTGCCAGCAGCAGGTGCAAGTGGGACCAGCACCATTAGTGGGTTGCTGCCCCAATCACTCCTCAGGAGCAGGGGGAGGTAGAGAAGCCCTCAGGGGCAGTCGGGGCTGGCAGCAGCCACTCGCACCTGCTGACAGCACCAAGCGATTAGAACAGGTGCTGGGCGCCGGCAGTGGGTGCAAGCAGCAGCTCTGGTACCAACTGCGGGTGCAAGCAGGGCTGGCACTGGCAGTGGGTGTGAGCAGCAGCTCCAGTGCCGACAGCGGGTGCAAGCGGGGCTGTCACCAGCAGTGGTGTGAGAGGCAGCTGCTGCCCCAATCACCCCTCAGGAGCAGGGGGAGGTGGAGAAGCCCTGAGGGGCGACTAGGGCCAGCAGCCCCCACTCAAACCCACTGACGGCGCCGAGTGATTGGAGCCAGCGCCAGGCACCAGCAGTGGGTGCCAGCAGTGGGTGTGAGCACGGTGGGACCATGGCGCGCAGGAGCAAAGAATTTTCAGTAACCACCAAAGGCTTGCCCCAAAGACAGCAACTGGCACCCCCCTTGGTCTGGCGCCCCCGCTCACCTGCTCCACCATCCCTCCACAGTCAACACCCACCATGTTTTGTGCACACCCCCTGGTGGTCAGTGTACATCATAGCAACAGGTTAAAAAAAAAATGAGTGGGGGCACAAAGGGGGATAACAACACATATGCAATACCTTAATCAATAAAGAAATTATTATAGAGGATAAGATAATGTCCTTGCTCTTAGGAAATATACACGAAGTATTTAGGGAAAAGGGTATATAATATCTGTAACTCACTCTTAAAAAAATGAATGGGGGCCGAAACCAGTTTGGCTCAGTGGATAGAGTGTCAGCCTGCGGACGGAGAGGTCCCTGGTTTGATTCCGGTCAAGGGCATGTACCTGGGTTGCGGGCACATCCCCAGTAGGAGATGTGCAGGAGGCAGCTGATCGATGTTTCTCTCTCATCAATGTTTCTAACTCTCTATCTCTCTCCCTTCCTCTCTGTAAAAAATCAATAAAATATATAAAAAAATAAAAATTAAAATTAAAAAAAAAATGGGGGGGGGCACAAAGGGGGATAACAACACATATGCAATACCTTAATCAATAAAGAAAAAAATTATTTAAAAAAAGTATTCAGATAAAAAACCAAACACACACACACAAACACCATGAAGGAGAGAAAATGATAAAGCCAATGAAGCTAATTGTGAGTTTTTCCAACTTTTCAGTAAAATTGAAATTATTATTAAATTATTGAAATTATTATTAAATATATATATATCCCTGCCCTCCCTCCCACTCTCTTTAAAAATCAATGGAAAAAAATCCTCGGGTGAGGATTAACAAAACAAAACAACCAAAAAACTTCAGGTTCACCAAAATTATAAATTTAATGTGTTAGATTTTTAAATAATCATTTGATTCTTGAGAAGGTTTTGTTTGCTAATGCAGATGATTGAAATAAAATATTTAAAAAAAGAAATCAAATTTAATGTACTTATAAAGTATTTGACAGTATTTAATTCAGTTTGAAACCAAATCAAACACTCAGGACTCTTAAATAATTGTTAAAAACTGCTAGAATTATAAACAGAATAATAAAACTTCCCACCTAAACTTAAATGTATAGCCTAAGAAAGAGATTTTTTTAATATGGAATTTTAAAAATTAACTATTAATTATTTAAGTCAAGAGCATACCTCCGAACATTCTTTTCTGCATACACAAACCATGCTGGAGGATACCAAAAGACTCGCATCATTGGGTGTGGCAGGGGTTTTTTCCTACAAAGCTGTAAATTCCTTGCCACCTCTCTCATGGAAAGGTGGGGTTTGTGTCCCTGCCCCCTTGAATCTGGCCAGATTTGTAACTGCATCAATCAACAGAGTATGACTGCAAAGACATCATGTGTCTCGCAAGGCCAAATCATAAAGAAACCATGCAGCTCCCACCTGGTTCTTTAGGAATGCTCACCCTTGGGAATTCCAAGTCAGGCTATTCCTTCTCAGAACATAGCTGCTATGCTGAGAGGTCTGAGCCACATGGAGAGACCATATGAAGGTGCTTCTGTATATACTAGAGGACTGGTGCATGAAATTCAGGCACAGGGCAGGGAGGGGAGGCGGGGGGTGTCCCTCAGCCCGGCCTGCACCCTCCCCAATCTGGGATCCCTTTCACAATCCAGGACTGCTGGCTCCTAACAGCTCGCTTGCCTGCCTGCCTGATTGCCCCTAACCACTTCCGCCTACCAGCCTGATCACCCACAACTGCCCTCCCCTGCCGGCCATCTTGCGGTAGCCATCGTGTGGCGGTCATCTGTGACAACATGAGGGCGGCCATCTTGTGATGACATTGCGTGAGGGCATCGCGCCACCTAGGCTTTTATTATATAGGATTGCCAACTGAGTCTAGCCTTCAAGTCATTCCAGCCTAGGTACCACAAATAGGTATTCTTTTTTCATTTTTTTTTAAATTGATTTCACAGAGGAAGAGAGAGGTAGAGAAACATCAGCAAGAGAGAATCACTGATCAGCTGCCTCCTGCACGCCCCCAGGATCAAGCCCGCATCCCGAGCATGTTCCCTGACTGGGAATTGAACTGTGACCTCCTGGTTCATGGGATGATGCTCGACCAACTGAGCCACACAGGCTGGGCCAAATATGTATTCTTACCAACTAAATGTTTATGTCCTCCCCACTACCCTGAATTCAATTGAAACCTTACCCTCAACTGTGATGCTACTAGGAGTGGGGTCTTTAGAAGATAATTAGGTTTAGATAAGGTCTTGAAGGTGGAGCCCTCATAATGGGTTTAGGGTCCTTCTAAGAGGAAGAAGAGAGATCAGAACTCTCCGCGTGCTCACAAGGTGGCTGCTACCCCTAAGGAAGGGCCTTTGTCAAGAAGAGAATCCACTGGCACCTTGATCTTGGATTTCTCAGCCTCCAGAACTGTTGTTTAAGCCACCCAGCCTCGGGCATTTTGTCATAGCAGCTTGAGATGACTAAGACAGCTGTGAAGGAGTCTTCAGATGATTCCAGCCCCGACCACTTCAGACACTTGAGCCATTAGAAATATCCCAGCTGAGACCCCAGACATCACAGAGCAGAGACAAGCCTGCTTGCCCTGTCAGAACTTCTGACCCATCAAATCCTTAAGCGCAATGAAATGGCGGTGGTCTTATGTCACGAAGCAACAGGTAACCAGGTCAGAACTTTAAAGATGGGTTCTCTGCATTGGTTTTAGATAATCTGTCATTTGTTTTCTGAGCTGATTAGATTGAAAGGTATTAAAACCTCTTGCCAGTGATTAAAAAAAAAAAAAAAACACTAGTAGTGCATGGCATGTGGTGGCAAAACAGAAAGCAAGACTTGAGTGACCACGCAGCAGAGACCATTTTAGTAAAATAAAAAAGTATAGTGGGGTCAGTTGGTTGCTTCTAAATGCACTTGAGGAAAGAGATGATCAGCTGAAGCCTTTAAATTCCCACCTGAAGGTGTGGATAAGTGACCAGAACGTTTCTATGGCTTACTTAATAAAAACCCTATCTTCTCTGGTTACATGGCTGAAAATCAAACTCAAAGTCCACTTCTACACATGGGCGAATTACAGTGCAAATTGAATCCCAAACTTGTATGGTCTCCTATATTAAAGTTAGGGTAATGATCAGGAAGAAATGGAACCTTAAACATTGGAATAGGGACATATGTGCAGAGTCCCAATGAGGCTGGGAGTTTTAAACCCCTAAATACCACTGAGCCTTCCTTACCAATAGAATCGGCCCTTCCTCCCCTGCATGGGAAGGTTAGACTCCCCCTTGCTTGTAGAACCTGTAATGGTGTCCCCTGAAGTAAAAACCTTTCAGGGAACTGCTGACCTACCTCTATCTCTCATTGCTTCCAGATCTATAACCAGACCCAAGTTCCAGGTGGTATAATAGCCTTTCATAGATTTTCCTATCTGCTTCTCTATCCTTACTGCTTAAGGTCTAATTCTGTATTACTCATAGTGGTTCTGCTTTTCTGATCAAATCCGACTGATGCATAAGGCACAGGGAGGCAGCCGGAAAAGTTCATTTGATGAGAGAAGAATGTGAAAACACACACCTGGAAATAAAAGGGGAGCATGTTACAGTTACACACGTGTTTCATGTTACAAAGTCAATCAGGAAACGGTTCTTTCCCATGGACCCACTTACATCTTTTGGAGGAATATAGTCTGGACTGAGGCCTTTGGCTATCGAGAGTCGTAATATCCGGGGAGAAGGAGCGCAGACTGGAAGAGAACCTCTTGCTATGTAATCACTGAGGGACCTATACGCAAACAGAATGTAAAGTATTATCATTAGAGGAACAATAACTGCATTTTTATGGCTATAATCAGCCTCCCACAGTTATATATATTGTTTCTAACTTTGAACATCTTTTCCCATAATCATTAGTGCTCTTTCTACCAGACTGGTGTTTCTAGAATTTTTTTACTTTGATCTACAGTAAGAAGTACATTTTATATTGTGATACGGTATATGTAAATCTCTATATCTGAAACAAAATGATCATGAAACAATGCTTGTCCTAGGCAATGTATTCTGATATTTTTTCAGCAATTTTTTTATTATTATTATTAGTTAAGGTATTACAAATGTGTCCTCATCCCCCCCATTAACCCCCAACCTACCCACACACACAAACTCATGCTCCCATCCCCCTGTTGTCCATGTCCATTGGTTTGGCTTATATACATGTATACAAGTCCTTCGGTTGATCTCTTCCCCTTACCCCCGCCCTCCCCTACTTTCCTTCTGGGGATTGATAGCCTGATCGCTGTTTCTCAGTCTTTGGGTCTGTCCCTTTTCATCAGTCTATGTTGTTCTCTATAATCCACAAATGAGTGAGATCATGTGGTATTTATCTTTCTCTGACTGGCTTATTTCACTTAGCATAATGCTCTCCAGTTCCATCCATGCTGTTGCAAAAGGCAAGAGTTCCTTCTTTTTTACAGCAGCATAGTATTCCATTGTGTATATGTACCACAGTTTTCTAATCCACTCATCTGCTGATGGGCACTTAGGCTGTTTCCAAATCTTAGCTATGGTGTGTATTCTGTTTTTAAATGTCATTTGATTTCATTAAAAGAAAAGATGGAACTAATTTCATGATCCACTGGTTGCTTAAGACTTGCAGTTTTAACATTATTATTCATTGTAATAGTATTATGTGGATTCCAGCATTTGCTTTCCTTCCCTCACACAATTCTGACAAGCTTGCTTATCTGTTTGCAGTGCACAGAATATCAGAAAAGAGCCTGGTTAAAGACTATTCCCCCAGTAAAAAGAGAAATGATGGGAAAACACTGAGAAGCAAATATCTCCTAAACTAAAAGCACTGAGGTCAGACTACTTCACTTAAAGAAAAACTGTGCTTCATACTCAGACAATTCCTAAGAAGTTTTCTGTATTAAAGTATTATGTTGTAGTTGATGTTCATAATAAAGATCTCAAGCCAGTGCCAGTGAACAATGCTTACATATTGATCAGTAGCAGAAGAATTTGCTTAGGAGAGTGGGGAGACATAAACTTTTTTTAATCTATTTTTTTTATTGATTTCAGAGTGGAAGGGAAAGGGAGAGAGAGATAGAAATGTCAATGATGAGAGAGAGAGAGAGAAAGAGAGAGAGAAAATGAATCATTGATTGGCTGCCTCCTGCACGGCCCCTCTTACGGATCAAGCCCGCAACCCTGGCATGTGCCCCTGACTGGAATCAAACCTGGGACCCTTCAGTCCGCAGGCCTACGCTCTATCCACTGAGCAAAACCAGCGAGGGCCATAAACTTTTTAAAATCCAGGAAATTTTAACACGCAAGGAGGTTTTACTTATATGAAACATCAAACTCAGGAGTCTCAAAAAGTAGTGACAGCCCAGCCAATGTGTTCAGTGGTTGAGCATCGACCTATGAACCAAGGAGGTCCTGGTTCAATTCCCTTGCTTCCTGAAATCAAATATATATATATTAGAGTGGTGACAGATAAAGAAAGTATTCCTCTGGTTTATAAATGTAGATATATAACTACAAATTACATATATATTTTAACTAAATTAGCAGATTTTGTCAAATGAACTGATAAATAAGCAAACGAAGAAATTTTGTGGGAGGACTTGAGCCTCTTTTGCTGGATTCTATGAAGGAAAAAGACAAGTTGTCCATTTCAACCTCTCTAACTGCAGGAATCTTTACTAAAACCAACATAGAGTGATCGATCGTTGTAGCCTACGCTTGAACACGTTCAGGGATTGGAGTGGAGATGACAGTTGAGTTTTCCAGGTAAAACTTTCCACTACTGGATAGCTCCTCAGGAAGGTTTTCCTACACTTAGCTGACGCCCGCTACTCTGTAAATACCGAGTTCAATGTCTAGTTCTGGGATCAACAGAAAGTAATGTTCCTTCCACCTCCTCTGCCTCTTTCAGGTGCTGGCCTTTCACACGGAACCATCACGGCTTCCGTGGTCTCTTCTCTAAGCTCAACATGTCATTTCTCTGAACTATTTTTCATATAACATAGTTTTCAGAAACTCAACTCCTCATTTATCTCCTTCTGGACAGTCTCAAGTTTATTATGTTTCTTTTTTATTTTTCAATTACAGTTTTACATTCAACATTAGTTTCAGGTGTACAGCATAGTGGTTAGACAATCATATCTTTTGCAAGGTGGTCCCTCTGATACTTCAAGTACCCACCTGGCACCATGCACAATTATGGCAATGTTATTGACTATCTCTCTATGCTGTATTTTACATTCCTAGGACTATTTTGTGACTACAAATTAGTACTTGTTAATCTTTTTCACCCAGCCCCCCAACCCTAAGGCATAGCATCCATAATTGGACACATATACCTAATGTGTTCTGACTACCGTAGTGCACATTAGTTCTGTCACCTTCCTGTAATTATACGCTGTAATATTGCACTAATGTAACCTAAAATTTTCCAACAACCACATCACAATCTTAGCTCCCTTGTGGAAAATATCACGAAGCTGTCTTCTAAAGACAGGAGAGAGTCAGCATTCAAGGCAAAAGGGGGATCATGTGCGAAGTCACAGAGGGCATAAGAGAATCCCAAAGTTTTAAAAATTGCAAAAACCTATAATGCTTCACTTGTACATTTCCTTTTAATTGGCAGACAATGGTTAAGTTTAGTGTGAATTTTAGCTTTACCATATGAGTCAGATGTAATTATTGATGAAGATCTTCTGATGACCCACAGTTGCTGAAAATATTTGATTTTGTATCCTGATCCTTTGAAACACCAAGGACCTGCATCTACTACAATAAGAACAACGTTTAACCAAGTTAGATTAGAATATACAGAGGGTCTCGGGTACTCTACCTGTTTATTAGCTGTATTGTCCTGAATCTGTTGGGCTGTGACAGCCTCTGGATCCTTTTGGAAGGTCGTCTCATCAGTACAGGAAAAGGGATATCCCAGATTGCAGACCCTCTGCCACAGTTGTAGTGATACTGAGCCCTGCACGTTGTGGAGAGAAAAGAAGTGAGTGAAATAAGCATGAGTTCAAATTATCGCTTGAATTCAAACATTGATACCCCTGGTTTAGGGGAGTGGGTATGACAGTTTATTTCTTTACTGCTGAGCTATTATCGACATGGGAAGAAATTAGAAATGGTTACAGCCACCGAGTTTTCAGCCGCCTTCTAATACCCTATTCTTAGCAGAAAATGTACCACAATAAATAAATTGCACCTTTTAAATAGACCCGAATATAAACTAATTAAAAGAGAAAATTTGCTGCTTTAAAACAAAATAATTTATTTAACATCTACATAGATCATTTAAATGTTTTTACTATATCTTTGGTTAGTAGAATTGCATTGATGTTTTTCTTTGTGAAAAAAAGAACTCTGAGTTTAGGAATAAATTCTACTTGATCATGGTATGTAGATTATTTCATCATTATTAGGTTTTGTAAACTAAGATTGTTTAGATACTATTTGGGATAAATAGTAATATTGTTCTCCATCAGTGGGAAAGGAAGTGATATTGGCTACTTTGTCCCTGGTGTTAACTCAGATTGCAGTCCCACTTCTGCTTCTGTTATTTTCCAAAAAGCCTCTGCTTCGTTAACATATTCATGGTGTGGGTCTGCCCCATCTGGCCCGGCTGCCTGCTGGTTGCTACCGTAGGCCTGGGTATGTGTGTAAGCCTGTATCTCCCTCCTTTGCTTGTGACCATCCAGCCTTGAGACCTGTCCATACACACTTCTGCTTTCAGAGGGCTTCTGGCTGTCCTGCCCACGCTCCACTGCCTGGCTGCACTGACTCAGCCACCCTCACCACATGCGCAGCCAAACTCACACAGGAGGAACCTCCTGCACTTACCTGGGACTAGCCTTTGGCAGGAAATGGCAGTTCTGTTTGGGAATCAATCGGAGCTAGAGAAGGAAGGGATGGTTTTGAACAACGGGGCACTTCAGAGAGATCAGAGTCAGAAAAGGAGTGGGAGGAAGGAGTTATTAGGCAGCCAATGAGCAGCACAAAGGCAAGATGTTTTGCAGAGGAGGGCAAAGGGCAGAGGCCCGGGCAGCGGATGAGAGATACAAAAAGGAAGAGGAGAGGACACCAGAGACATAACTCAATTATTCAACATTCTGGTAAGTCAAAACATTATAAGATATAATATATGTCTGCAATAGCTAAATATTAGATCCTGCTCTGGAAAAGTTGTACTGTAGCATCAGATTGGAAACATATAAAATCCTTAATCCTCAATAAATTTTGACTACAAGACTCTTCAAGGCTTTAGATAAAAGGGCTGGGTTCAGTGTACATTTTCCTAGAGACTCCTGATAAAATAACCTGCTAACATGCAGTACTAACCTGTTAGGTACGTATCTGAAGGAGACCTCCTTGGGCTGGGCAAGGCTCTCGAGTCTTTTGGTCATCTGACTCTTCAAAGCACCATGGCTAATAGGGCGAATAGGATCTTGATTTCCCCAAGCCAGCTTTCTGTTAAAAAGCAGAAAAATAAAATGGAAAGAAATTCACTGTTAACGACATCTTCGGCTGCCTCTCTATTGGTGTTACTTCAGTTTAAGAATTACCCCAGGCATCAGAAGTGGGTAAACTACTCCTGTCAGTTGAAATAAAAATAAAATCAGGCTGTTTTATCTGCTGTCTTAAATTGTAGTGACCCAAAATGAACCTATCAGAGATAGACAGTTCTGTGTCTGCCATAATGTACCGTATTTGCCAGCGTATAAGACGACTGGGCGTATAAGACGACCCCCTAACATTTCCACTCAAAATACAGAGTTTGTTATATACTCGCCGTATAAGACTACCCCCTCTTCCGCACACCTTCCACACACCAAATAAAAGGTAAAACAATATCAGATTTGATTTTAACATTTTAATTTATATTCAAATGCTTATGACATGCAGGAAAACTGTCACAAGGCTGTATGTAATCAAACATATACATAAAACAGTGCAAGTTTATTACCGGTAAACATACCGGTAATTCACTAAAGAAAACACACTCTATAGACTGGTACCGTAGATGCTTCTCAGGAACACAGGCAAGCAGCCCACAACCTAGAGGGACTGTCAATGATAGAAGAAAGATAACAAATAGAGGTAGAGAGCAAGTGCCGGGCAAGTCCCTAGCAA